TAAAGCTAAGTGTCGTAGAGTCAAGTGTGGTAAAGTCAAGTGTACTTGACTCCACGTATTCTCTATGTATTTTCTCTGCGAGGCTCCGCACGGAAGAACCCTTCGCGATGCTTTCGGGAAAAATAGAAACAGTAGTCGTTGTCCTAGTGATCTGTGAACATTCATACGAGTCTACGAACTACGAAAACGACCACGCCCACGACAGACCAAATGATTGCTGAGTGTTTCGGTGTTCCTCTTTGCCGTGCTGCGTGCTTCCAACATCCAAGTCTCGCCCGGGATCCAGTTTGTAGAGCCATGACATGTTAGCAACCATCCCAATCTTCAAAATTACGAACCAGAGATTCTGGGCCAAGTTTTTTCCTGCTTCTAAGCTGTTGCAACAATCAGTAGTCATGCGGCCAGCAAACGAAACTAATAAGCATACAGACCATACATGACGCAAGATGAGATCCAGGCCGAGGCCGGAACAGATTGGAATGATGCACGGCTACTATCAAATTGTGGGACGTTTTGCAGGTTGCCAGCGACAGCCGAGCTGAAGAGTCCGTTGAGGACGCCTCTGTCGAGGAAGCCTCTGTCGAGGAAGCTGCGTTTGGCATTGTGCTGTGGTATGCCATGTTGGGATCACACCGCAAACAACGTGACAAGTCGTGATAATTCCCGATGTCAGCAGCTGCATCTCGTCGCTGACAGCAGGCAGAAGAGGCCACAACCCAGACAACATCTTCGGCGTGGCAGAAGCTTGATGATGTCGAGTGGACGGTGCGCCGGACGTTGTATCAGAACGGATCGGCTCGGGCTCGGGAAGAAATACTGCATTTGGATGTTCTGCCCAGGCAGACGACGAAGATGAATGGCAGAAAGACACGCATCGGGATTATTATGAAGCGCGGATGCCTCATCAGACTTCGCGAGTTGAAGCGCCGTCGAACAATGAGTGTGGATCTCGAGGTTGGGATTGACACGCTCCGACGGGATGTCCATTTCCGCGAGCCGAGTTCGTGCAGCGCGTGCTTCCTAAATCATGGCACCAACCCACCCGAGGATCACAGGAAACCTGAGCCGCCCATGTGAGGTATCATCGAATGGTGCAGAAATGGCATCCGGATTTCCAATCCATTGAAACACCAGGCCGCCGATTGGCAAGAACGCACGGTGGCTGCACATGTCTTGTGTTGCAGCTCGAAAGGCAGTTGTGATCAAGAGAATGGTCCACAGAGGACGCGACATGAAGTTTTGCGAAGGCTCCTGGAAGTGCAGCGAGCATACGCTCGAAATGCGGAGAGGAGCTTTGCGTGTAATCTTGATTTGCCTTCAAACAACGCAGGTTCTGGTTAATCACCGAGGCGGGATGCATTCCACGCCTTGGCAGTCGTGTGTATGCTATGGTCCGGTCAGGCATATCTAGTTCTTAAAGATCCGGAGAGGCCAGCTTTGCAAGACAGAAGTGGCCGGTCGATTTGGCCACTTTGCACAGGCGGCGCATTTACGACGAATGCGGCTTCGCGCACTTCAAACAAAGTGAAGCGTGTCGGGGGCCGTGCTGCGACATGCCAGACTGCAGAATACAGGAGGGCCTGCGTGACGTGAGGCTATCAAGAACCAGTCTTCGAACAGGAGCTGGTTTTTCGCTGTGTGGCAGCATGTGGCGTGTGGTATCGTGTCGGTTGCTCGCAGTATCTCACAGTGCGATGCGGGAGCTCTATTTCACGTTCCACTTCTATGGACGTTTTTGCAGGGTTGAGAGGCTGAACTTCCACCGTCAAAGCCTGCCAGTGTTGTTCCGTTCGCTATTTGGCCCAAGTATGGTTGAAGCTTTCATGGTCGGAGTGTCTTCGGTATCGCAATGCGACGCCTACTCAGGCCTGGCGCTCTGCTCCGAAGGTTGCCCTTGGTTCCCAGACGCACCTTCAGCTCGTCGCCGTCTGCCGCACTTCGGCTGCCGAGATGTTTACACTGCCTCGAAGTCAGGGTTGTTCGTTCTTGTTGGTTGTTTTATTCTGGTTTGCCCGAGCTGTGATGCCAAGAAAATCATTCTCCCAGCCTCGGTAACATTCGCAATGCTCGCATTTCTGGCACCATGCCAAGTAATTTAGAAAAGCGATGCGTCAGACATGAACGTGAAGTGAAGGATCGCGCGTCTGGTTGAAGCCAACGAAATCAGGAGAGAGAGTCCTGTCCTGGAACGACCATGAGGCATTGTCAGAACGTGAAACACTACACGGCTAAGCAAAAGGTGTTTGTACAACTGCGCACAAGATCAACTACAGCATCGGTCTGCTCACTCAGAGCTCTCCGAGCTAAGCGTCAGCACTGTCTCATTTTTCACGCCTCAGCGGCATAGCACACGCTGGCCACAAAGCAAATGTTGTTGGGAATTTCACGGGCACGGTTGGTAGCTGCGGAGGTGCAAAACAACGTTGACAAAATCAAAGCCTACCCTGACCGGGTTCGAGAGCGCCGCCTTTCTCGCAAAGCTTGGTGCGCCGTGCAATGAAGTAGAGCATGTGCAAGAGTGTCTAAACGACCAGCACAAAACCGACAAGGTTCGGCGTTGCTCTGGTGGCGAGCACTTCGCCCGTCACAGACAGGGTGATGCCCTGATCCCCAGTAGCGAGCATGTGCAGGAGACACACACCGGCCATAAACCACTGGGTACAAGCTGGGGTGTGGCTGCTATTGCGCATAGTCGCGTAAAGTTTCAATGCCACGGCGCAACTCGCGTTGGCATGCGAAACTAGTTCGGTACGCACATGGGGGGAACTTGAACCAGCGTCGAGCGACTGAATGGCTAGCACCACGTCCTACACTCCAGGTTTCTGGATGGGAAACATCCAGTTGAACGAGCTGATTTTCACGACGACGGACCCAAGAACCAGGATATTCAGTGACAATACGTGCAACCTCTGCAGGTATGCCTCTGCCGGGGATGGAAAGCAGGCGTGCCCATAACCCTGCGGCATGCAGCAAGCGCAAATTGCTGGCATTAAACCAACAAAGCTGACCCTGAACAGCCGCAGTCCATGCACCACGTGGCCACATCAATAAGCGGAACAAGCGGGTGTTCACAGGCTCTAACTGGCGGTTTTCAACAACAAATCGCAAACCAAAGCAAACGGACGTCGTACGTATGCTTTAAAAATTCTGCTTATATGCAAAAGCTCAGCTCCAGATTTTGAGAGTTCGATGGTGTCCACGACACGCAAGCAGCAATTCTCTGTTTACCGCAGGATAGCACACGATCGACATGGTCACTCCAATGTTGACACGATCATGAAAAGCAACCCTCAAATTTGTATGGCTACGAACAATCGGCAAGGGCTGATGGCCAATGTGGAATTGCAACGAAGCAAGATTGGGCGGCCTCCGGCCAAAGCACGTGACTGCACCTTTTGTTTGGGCCAGTGCCAAAACAAAATCTCCAAGCTCTAGCCCATGCAGCATCTAAAGCATTTTGCAAGACTGCTGCGTTCCGCTGAGAATGACAATGTCATCAGCATACACCAAATTTTGACATGCAGTGCGCTGGAGCTAGATGCACGGCACGACGCGTCGCGACAAGCACGTTTGATTGCAAATGCCAAGCCATGTACTACTACATTACATTGGAAAGGAAACCGCTAAGGACAGCTCCCTGGGCGATACCCTGGTCAACGTCCCAATCTTCAGAAAGCAAGGATGACACACGGACGGCTGCAGTCCGGTTAGAAATTAGACTATTATAGGTCATCAATAAGGTGCCACTCACCACCTTGAACCCCGGCGGGAGAAAGGCAGCAAGGCACCATCCCGCCACGTGAGGGGGTGGGCGTCAGCCAATCGAGAGGCAACAGTGTGCCACATTCCAACGTTAAGCCCGCGGCATTTTGAGATGGATTGAGATGGCATGTCAGCGGTGGTGCTACAAAAGCTTCGCAGTGGAAGTGCAAAGCTGTGTTGGTTTCGCAACATGCACAGCCTCCGCTTGTGCAACCACTCAGGAGGCCAGACCATCTGTAAAGAATTTGCGGCGGCACTTCATCGTTTGTGCTGTGCCGATGGTCGGGTTCGGTATCATGGACTCTCAGCTGCATGGAGTAATAGTGCTCGGCGGTCAGTCTTGCTGCTTGCTGCTGCCGTCTGTTACATCTTAAACCCAGCTACAAGCCCGAAGGACAACACCATCATGATTCACGCAGGCACGGGGCATGGATGCTGAGAGTGACAAGCCGGACCATGTTCAAACTGCATTGGAGCGTTCGCAAGAGCCACGAGAGGCGAGATGATTGATGAGCACCTGGGCATGGCCTTGGGGCTTAGCACTATGGCCTCTGCAGCTGCTGGACAAGTGATTTCTGATTTTTCAGGCCATTCCATACCATATCACGGAGTGATGAAACAGCTGCCGTCCCCAGCGCTACCAGAACCTGGTTTATCTGTTTTTTGCTACAGGTAGCGCTGCCATCATTGCATGCTGCCTTGTTTGTCGTTGTGGCACTGTGGCAGGGTGCACGCATCGTAGAGCAGGTTTCCTCCGAAGTTGACCCATGTGCTGAACAGGTCGAAAGTGTGAGGAATGAAGTAGCAAGTTCGGACAGTCCTTCCATAGCATTGGAATATGAAGTGAATGCCGGCTGAATCGCTTTTCGGCGAAACGATTCGATTAGGGTGTGGTTTGTCGTGCCGAGTCTTCACCGGCGAATGTTTCAGGGATCTTGCGGCAACTACACTTCAACAGTTGTAAGCATGAGGATCTGCAAGACAGGGTCTGTCCGCAGTGGCAGAATTGAGAAGCAGAATGGCCTTCGATCTGCTCAAGATAAGAAAAGACGCTGGCTGCATCTTGAAGTCATGCTGAACATGAAGACCATGTCTCTAATCCTCAGTGAACGAGCTGCAGAGGCGTCTGCTTCGGTGGCACCTTGGAAGCTGCTGCATCAAAGCTGGGGCTGCGCCACCCTGCTTTATCAGACAAGCAGCGGCAGATGTCCGTTGTGAAACTGCTGGGCACAGCCGGCTCCGCCATAGGCCTGCGGGATACATCAGGGAAGAGGAAGTAGGTGGCCCCCTGTCATGCACTTTCATTATGCATCCCCCTGTGAAGGAGTCCTGTGTGGCTGTCTTTTGGGCATGCTGAATCTGCTGTTCTTGGACTTGCGGAAAGTCGAAAGGCAGAAGAAGCATGCAGAGCTGCAGACAATCTGCAAGACATTTGCAGTCGATGGCCCTGCCCACTTTGAAGCCGAGCGCTGCACACTTTACATTCGCGACTCCGACGATAAATACCTTTGGACGTTTGCCAAGCGATGGCAACTCAGTGATGCTCAGCTTAGCGAGTTCAAGTCGTTCACAGAAGAGCAGGATTATAGCGACGGTGCAATTGCAAGTGCGCTCGCGGAGTTGCACTTCAAAGCATCGGAAATCGCACACCTAGTCAGAAAGTCGAAGGAAGTCTCATCAGACGAGTTCAGAGTGTACTTGGAACAACAACTGGAAAGACCGACGAAGATCAAACTGCGAGCAGGCGGCACGAAGAAGTATGTCGTCGACGCAAAGAAGCTGCTGAATACCCCGGTCGTGTACTCCGACCCTCGGTTTGCGGCAACACACAGGAACACAGGAAGCGGGACACGTGCCTGCAGTGTCCTTGTGTGCCCGATTCTCAGCAAACGTTCTGGGGAAGTGTTGGGCGTGCTAGAGGTTATCAACAAAATGCGGCTTGGTCATCGTTTGTGTGTAGACAATGTGGTATAGCCCTTTGTTTCAGTGGTCCTCGTAGTTTTTTCTTTTTTTTGGTGCACTCCGAAAGTGACTGAGCATATCTGAGCATCAAGCCCAGGCCGAAATTGCTTCAGAAGCCGGTCTTCACAGAAATGGATGAGAAGCTCGCCCTGATGATGTGTTCACATGTTGCAAGCATCGTGGACACAATCTGCATCCTGGCACAGCAAGAAGGAGCTTTCTAGTGACTCTAGGACACTCCTTTGTTCGTTGCATGTTCTGTATTTTGGATGGCGGATGGCTTGTCATTTGTTTTGCATGTGGTGTGGCGCGTGTGGTGAGCTTCTCATATGGTTGCAAGGTGATGAGGATTCTCAGCTGCTGGAATTCCTCGGATAATTAAGCTGACTCTTGGCAGCCTGTTCAAAATTGAACGGCTGCTTCCCGCATTGCTTGCCAGTGGTGCGGGTCACGCATCACCCGTGCAATCGCTTTCGTGTCATTCTTCAAACGTTTTCCGCAAGCTGGAATAAAAAGTGCTTTTGCTGCCACCTTTCAGACGCAATTTGCAGGGAGCATGCTTCATCCATTTTGAAGAGTCAGGACGCATACCAAGTTTATGAGGATTTCTTCAACGGCAAGCATCTGAGAAGTGCCTGCGCCAAACACTGGAGACTGTCGAACTGCTGCGCATGAGGCACTGATCCTGAGGCACGTGACTTCCTGCAGCTTGGCTCCGTGTGAGTGTGTTTCGAGCATGTGCTTTGATCATTTTTATAAGAGAACTGCAAGAAGTCTCAGTGCCTTGGCGGAGTCGACGCGAGTGGCTCAGCGGTTCTCTCCCTGCTATCTTCCCTTCGCCTCGCCTTACGGCTGTTAATGTCTGCCTTGCAAACACGATGCCCAGCTGGGGTCACGAAAGCCAGCTCTTTCGTAATTCCATTGGGGACAAGCTTTGCAAGCAGGGCTTGTCTCAACCTAGTAGCACTCTCCCTCGTGCAAATGACCGCCCAGGTGTACTGCTGTTTACAGAAGCACTAGCATGTCAGTCTGCGACAGTCTTGTCTAACTCACCGGGTTTGCCACGTGCGGACCAGTGAGCATCACATAGCATCACCGTTCCCCGAGCTCTCGTCCTCCCCTGCTCAAGTCTATCGCCACAGTCGGCGAGTCTTGGCGGCGGGGTGTCATGGGAAGTCCTTAGCAGCTACCTGTTCCCTGCGGGTGTGAAACTTCGGCCACGGGTTTTACGCCTCATGGTCTCGCCTTGCTTGCGTCTTCGCTTGCGCGGTTGTGCGCAAGCGACATCCAGCGATTCTCCGAATGAGTTTCACGATGTGATGCGATGACAACTCAGGCTTATGAACGGTGGGGTGGCAGGTGCGAGTTCGTTTCAGCAAAAGAAGCTATTGCTCCAAGCCTGAATTTTCACTCAGACTTGACCCGCTTGTTGCAGACAGCGGCAGCGAAAGTGACGACAGCATGGAGGACAGGGCCTGCAAAGGGACCAGGGAGGGTCGGCGTGTTTAACGTGTACCAAACAAGAGAAAGGCCGAGCTGGCCGTCGGACCCGGTGACGCTCGTGCTGGACGCCAGGCAGAGGCATTCCGAGAATTTTCGAAGGTGTGTTTGTCTCTGGCCTTTGTATAATCCGAGCATCTAAATTAAAAAGTAGTGGGGCCCCCAGCCTGATCACCCCCCCTTCCCCCCAGAAGAAGGATCGCCGGAACCGCATTAACGGAATCTCTGTTCTGTTGGCTCATCCCGGCTCCTTGGGCTCTATTAAACTATTAAGAATAGTAGCGACGTATTGAACCTCCACCCGGGCTCGTCCCGCAGGCTTGCCAGAAATGTAGTCCCTTTTGTAAATCTGCTTCGGGGTAGCTTAGGAAGGAATGAAAAATTGTTTCCTTTTATAATAGAAAACCTAGCTTTCTGAAGGGCCTCAGCTGTTGGAAAAAGCTCCGGAAGGCAGCCTCTGCCTCTGCCGAAAGGCAAGGCCTACTTCGGAAAGCAGCAAGCAAGTTTTTGAAGCTCCCCAAACTAAGTTTCTTTACATGTGGTCCCTTTTCCTCATACGAAATCCTGCCGCAATTGAAAGTAGTCTTGCAGACCCAAACCCTGCCGATTTGTGTTTAAATTTGGGACCTTTTTCTTTCCCATCCTCGGATCACAAGTCTCGCAAAAGGCCGGCGAACCTCAGCTCCCACCAGAGATGGCCAAAGCGGTGGGCGAGGCGACAAGGCAGGATGCGCGAAGTACTCTCGCTCCGCCGAAAGCAGGCTTCTTCGGTGGACCAGTTCAGGACAATGCTGAATGGGGTCCCTCGGAAGACCGAGTAAGACGCACCTGTGTGAAGAATCTCAATGTGCTCTTCAGGTCCTCTCTACAACGCTGTGTCGGGATTCAGGTCGAGTCCTTGCTGAGTACTGGAGCAGCTTGAGACTTTGTTTGCCGTGGCAGCTTGAGTCTCTGTATAAGTGGAGGTGAAAAAGAAGGCCGTCCTCATACTGCCGAGGCCTCCGCATAGGTGCTGCACCAGGGGCATTCTCATGTCACAGCCGATCCATGCAGGCAAAAGGTTCGGAACGGCAGAGGCGACGTTCTGCGAAAAAATCTCGCGCTCCCGTCAAACCGCGTATGCAGGCATGGAAAGCGGCTGAATTCATTTCATGTCGGAGAGCGACCAATAACTTTGAGTGAAGGCTTGGAAGTGCTGGCGAGGGGCGGGGCATATCAGGCGTGATCCCGAAGTTCCCCTGCAAATGGTAGTTCCAGCCTCCGACCCGGCCCAGGCAGGTCTGCAACAAACGCCGCGAAGGGGGGAATAAGCGACCAGCTGCAGAGAAGGACCTCTGAGACTGTGTGGCAAGCGGAAAGCCAAAGCCAAAGCCAATGAGCGACATGTCACCAGGCTTTGAATTGCATTGCCGACCTGCTCTTGCAGCGCCTTTGCAGGAATCAGCCTGCCAGAACAGCCTGCCCTCCTGCCAAATGACTGCAGAGGCAGATGCAGAAAGACGGATTGCTTGCCCGTTTTGCAGTGCATTGCAACGTGTTGCCGATGCAGCCGGCCCCCCAAGATCGTCTATTTCCGCTTGCAGCGCGCAATGTATGCATAATAGTGTATCAAAAGCATAAAACCCCGAGGAGGGGGCGATGCCCTTGGGTTGTTAGACTCTTTTTGCCTGAACGTCCTTTGGCGGTGTTCGCCCGGTACTTGACTTGTTGCCCCTTTGCATGGGTGGCAACCAAAACGTGGGTTGGTGCTCATGTTGCAGCAGCCATATGAAAACCATTGCTTGGATCGACACGGGCACCTGGCTGCGGCCAGAATCTATTGTCTATTCTATAGTCTATAGTGTGAGCCACCGGTTGTTGGTTGATTAAGCGCACTTCACGGGATCTGGACGAATCCCAAATCAAGTGGCGCATGTCAGGCTTGTCGCATCTCCTCTATTCCTTGGCTCGCAGCTTTTTTGTTTTTTAGACGCGGCGCAGGAGCCAGAGACACTGTACAGGGTAACAAAATGACTGGCGACAGCCGTGTCGTCGCGGTGGCTGGGAGTCCAATTAAAGACGCTCTTGCTGGTGTGGGTTCGTATTGCAGCTTCTGAAGCGATCAGACACAGCGAGCCGAGGTGGGAGCTGTGGCAGCCACTGTTGCTTGCACCGCTTTTGTCGGCACAGCGCCCTCCCAAAACCCGGGCAGTGCGCGAGCACTCCGGGCAGGGGCAGCAGCAGCGCTGCCAGCCCGGGCCGCTTGAATGGAAAGTAGAACTGAGGATCTGAAGCAGAGGTAAATGTTGAGAGCCACGCTAGACTTTTTGGATGCAACGGCAGGGAGAGAGAGAAACGCAGCAGAAAAGGCGAGATAACAAGTTACATGTGCGACTCCCAAAGGCTTCCTCTAACTCGCCGACAGCCGTGGCTGCTGCTGCTGCTGTTGCCGGCTTCGCTCTGGCAGCAAGAAGCCGCCAGCAGCGTGGGCAGGCCAAGGCAGGGTGGACGGAGCAGGGGCCTTGCCGAGTTGAAGTTGAGCCGTCAGCCAATTTGCAAGGTTGTCTTTTGTTCTGAGCAGTATCTCGAGGGAAAGACGGAGCTGGACAACTTAAACCAGCGACACAGCCAAGCCCAGCCAACCAGACGACTTCCCCGACATACGACATGCAGAAAAAATTGAGCGAGCCATGACCCGAAAGGATGGCGTCATGGCATGTGTGACAGGTTCAGTAGCTTGACTTGGCAACAAGTTTTAAGCTTTCGTTGCAGCAGCCGCTAGGACGGGATTGCAAGCAATTCGATTCTCATCCCAAAACATCCATCAACAAGCCCATGCGCAACCTTGGCTTGCTTGGTTGGACAGCAGCAGTCCTCTGTTACAGCCACGCTTGTGCATTGACGTTTCCCGAGGCCACTGTTCAATGTTCTCAATCTTTGGAGCTGGAGTGCCACCACAACACATTGACCTGAACAGACGGGGCTGTAAGCTCTTGGGCAGACTCTGCGGCACTTCTTCGGAGAAGCGGAGACCGAGACGCAGGTGGCAGAGGCAGAGGTTGAGGCGGTCCCGGACACGAGCTCAGCATGAGAACTCTAATTAAGTCATTCCTAGTACATTGCCTTCAGCAGCTCCTTCCGAGGTCACACAGCATCCGCCAGGCTCTCGAATTCCTGATGGAACTCCGACGCCCCACCCTATGGCTATCAGGAAGAGGCGCAGATGCTTGGAGTAAGACGCGTGCTTTCTAATGTGTTGTCACGCTCGGTACATTTTTCCTGCGGAGCCATGCTTTCAACAACTGCTTTGCCAGGCCCAGACGAAATCGCCGCTTGCCGGCACAGCGAAATATGTTTTCGGAAACCAGGCCCGCCCAACACACCGTGGCCCGACAGCTGCTGATCGTTGCTTGTCCTTGGAGGCTGACTGCCGCAAACTTCATCCTGCCGATCTTCGTGCACGAGGAGTGCAGATCAGCGCCAACATTGCACATGAATGGCACTGTTCCCAATGTTCCGAGGGGACGGAAGACATCCCCATCAGCTCCATGCCTGACGTGTCCCGCGTCGGAGTGCGCACCCCAAGAACAGAGGCGGTGCAGGTCTGGACGGAATTCCGCACAGCAGCAGCAATAGCAATAAGGTGGACACAGGGCTTCTTCGTGAAGTTGAAGAGGCACGATGTCTCTTTATCCAGTGCCGGTCTCGTCTTTGACATGTCTAATCATGTCAATGTAAGTCTATTCTGCGACCATGCGGTATGACTGCTTGACTTGGGAGGCTGTGAAGTTGGGGGTCAAGTCTGTCGTGATTTTCCCGAAAACGCCAGATGAGCTGAAGACACAGACTGCCGAGGAAGGCTGCATGTGCAAAGCCGTGTCAGGGCGGTCCATGTGTTTCCTTGGTCGTGATTTGACCGGTCTTCCGACATGTGCTCTTGGCCATTGGAACTCGGATCCCGCTTTGCAGGAATGCTTCAACCCAGCGGGCCTGGCTCAGAGAGCGATCAGCAACGTGAAGAAGGCATTGCTCTGGCGTTCCCTATCCGTGTCAGAGCTTGGATGGATACTTGGGCAGGCTTTTCCAGACGTGGCCTTGCTGCCGCACTTTAATTTCATGTGTCGGAATCTCGTGGGTTTCGTGTGGGTTTATGTAATCCTGAATCCTAACCAGACCATGACTCATGTCGAGCTCTCGCAAGTCTTAGCACGGCGTAGATACCTGCAACAATTTCGAAGCAACACCGAGGAAGCGTGAAGCAGCTCTGTGTGCTTGTTCCAAGTTGGAATGCGCGTAAAGTCTCACGGATGAAAATCATGTCTGCAGCCATTTTGTTCGAATGAAGCAGGCAGAGATGCTGCTGCGAATGCTTTCGCAAGCTAGCGAAGGCGACTGCCTGCATCACTTGCCACAATGCACTGAAAAGGACATCAATGCTCGCACCGCAGACGGAGCAACTGCATTGCATTATGCGGCATCTGCTGGGTACGCGGATGTCTGCTTGGAGCTCTTGGAATCACCTTTATTCATGCAGGTGAACGACCAAGACGCATCCGGATGCACAGCCTTGCATTACGCCGCCTGCAAAGGGCATCGGGAGGTCTGCCAGGCCCTTCTTCAGCACTGGCGGTTCTCAGCACAGGATACTCAGGACTGGAACGGCTGGACGGCCCTGCATGTTGCTGCTGCCCACGGCCAACGTACCACGTGCAGCACTTTGTTGGAGAGTCCACGCTTCAAGGTCTTCACTGCGAGAGACAAAAATGGTATGACGGCGCCACTTGGCTCCATAGAGTTTTTCTGGCAACGAACGTTTTTGTGTGTTTTCTCTGTTGCCAGGCTGCATGTCGCAACAGCTCGTGGGCGTGCCGACGTGTGTTCTGCGCTGTCCGACCATCATGCATTTGCCGGTATTGCTGCTGTGGACAACTTCGGGAGAACGGTCCATGCTATGCGAAAGGAACCGACGCTCAAGGACAGAGGTGTGCAGACAATTCAGGTTCCGAAAGGCGTTGCGAAACGGACGCCATCTACGAAGGCGAAGCCACAGATGGAAAAGTGGCAAAGTTTAGCAAAGTGGACTTCCCACCTACAAAAGATACAAGACGAGGTGCATGATCGTGCTGACATGCTTCTTTTGCAGGGCTTCCCATATCAAGCAGTGTTGACCCACTACCCTGCCTGACAGGCTCCCGTTGTTCCGACGCAGTTCATGGAGCACGAAGTGGTATCAGCACGGCTCAGTCACGTAGCAGAGCTCGAGACGAGCCTCCAGCGAGGGAGTGTCAAAGACTTCGGTGCTCGAGGCAAGGGCAAGGAGGACACAGAGGCACCAGGCAAGCTCCACTCCATTGACTCCAGAGATTCGGAGACAGATGGGGCTCAGTCCATGGCGGCACCTGTAGGTCAACCAAGACCTTCCAGCAGCGGGCCATCCACTGGCAAGTCCTTTGGAAATCTCTCCGTGGCAAGACCTGAACCAGAAGAAGAGGACAAACAGTTTGCAGCAAGATCTGGAGATTCATCTGCCGCGCATGCAGCAGGGCAAGTTCCCGATGAAAGAACGCTGTCAGCATCAGCTGGCGAAGTAACCGGGCACCCCGCCAAGGTCGCCACGCCGACTACGTCAGAAGGCAGCAAGCCCGCAGATGGTGACCTGCTGGAAAGCACCAAGAACGAACAAGATCCAGCAACTGTGTCGGCAGACATGGCCTTAGACCACGATGCGGGCACCACCAAGCTGAAGACCGAAGACAGGAACGGTCCGCAGGATGTACCTGAAGACCGATCGGATGCCGCACAGCGGCAAGAAGAGAGGAAGCTGGTCTCGGATGATGCGGAGGCAGATCTGACGAAGGAGGAGGGAAACCAAGTCGAGACCTATGACAACAACGACAGAACTGTGGAGAAGAGCAATAAAGTGGGAGAGGAGAACACGACAGCGGCAGATGTCCCGAAGCCAGGCGACGAAATGGATGGTACCCCGCAGGCTGGATAACGACTACTGAGCTTTAGGCTTTGGAATGAGCAGGCGAGGAGCACAGTATGTATGATCCCGGTTCGGTCGGGCCGCCCCACCCTCCCCCCCAATGGTTGGCACCCCTTCCCCCCCCTTCCCCCTGTGGTGCGGTGTGGTTCGGGATTTTGCGTCTGCTTGGAGTCCCGCTCTCCCCTGGGTGTGGTTCGAGGTTTGGGTCGCCCTGGGTGTTTCGAAATCGTCATCATTATCATGTTCCTTTCTTGGGTCAACTGCCACAGGAAGCGGGCCTAACAGGAACGCGATCCTGGTGACACTAGCATTTTCAATACCCTGTGTTTAAAGTCAAGGATCCGGTGTGTTTGGGACGAGATCTCGTGACACTTGATGGTCTTGGAGCCGCCATGTGGGAGAAATGTGGGCAGTCACAGGGATTCGACGTATTTGGACCTGGGCGTGCCGGGGGTGGGGGGGGATCCATGAGGGGGGTCGGCGAACCGAGAACCCGGATGATATATGAGAGTGGCACCCGTCTAGAGGCGGACCAGGGGGTGTGGGGTAGGGGGGGTACGCTTGGTGATGCCTTCGCAAGCTGTACCCAGCTTGATGTAAAACGCACAAATTGCATGTGACAGAGCAGCAGCCAACGGGAACTAGGCCCAAGTGGGGGACCAGGAATCTGAGGGCATCCCTTGTTTGTCACCTGCCGCCGTAATTGGGGACTCGCCACCAAACTATGACAAACTGCAAACCTCTAGCCAGCCGGAAACACCTTTCCTTCCCCTAGTCTCTGCATGAAGTGGAAGGGCGAGACAGGCTGGAAGTAAGGAAAAGTAGGAAGAATGAACGTTTTGCGCTTTAGCTCGACAGCCGGCCGAAAGGCTCCGGAGAGTCCTGCAGCTTTCTTGTGGAGGCACCTGAAAGGGAAGAGCACGGAAACGGCAGCTCTGAGGGAGGGCACCAGAAGAGAAACCGTCAGCAGAGGAGGGAAAAATTGAAGGTCCGACAGCTCGCTGGTGTGGACGCGGAACCACCTCGGACCATTCGCAACAAGTTGAAGGATGTCATGAAACAAGAGGCGACAGACCATCAACAGCCAGAGGCTCAAACTGCTGACGGAAAAGCTGCGGATGCCGCAGAGGAAGCATTCAAGTCAGAAGAGGAGCAACAAGCTAGGCAAGCTGCAGAGACCGCAGCAATGGCCGAAGAAGATCAGAAAGCCAGGGAAGTTGCAAGGGTGGAGGAGGAGAGAAAGATAAAGGAAGCTGCAGAGGCAGCGGCAAAGGCGGAGGAGGAGGAGAGAAAGGCACGGGAAGCCGCAGAGGCCGCAGAGGCGGCGGCAAGGGCGGAGGAGGAGAGAAAAGCACGGGAAGCCGCTGAGGCTGCGGAGGCAGCGGCAAGGGCGGAGGAGGAGAGAAAGGCACGGGAAGCCGCAGAGGCTGCAGAGGCAGCGGCAAGGGCGGAGGAGGAGAGAAAGGCACGGGAAGCCGCAGAGGCCGCAGAGGCAGCGGCAAGGGCGGAGGAGGAGAGAAAGGCACGGGAAGCCGCTGAGGCTGCAGAGGCAGCGGCAAGGGCGGAGGAGGAAAGAAAGGCACGGGAAGCCGCAGAGGC